ACGAAGTGCCGACCCACAAAACTCAAAACCCCAAACCTCAAAACCGGTACAGACTGTACAGCTTGTTACTCAATACACAACTTACCCTTTACCCACAGTTGCAGACCCTCACCACAAAACCAATTTTGTGCACAGATCAACATTTTGTTTAGCAATGAAAATGATGTGTTGTTATTCACGTGGTGGGCGTGGCGTGAAAAGAGCACCCACTGAGGCTGGATTTGGGGTGGCGCACCCTAGTTATATATATGAGTCATACACAGATTACAAACGTCAGATTAGTTTGTGATCACAGAAAGAAAGAACTTCGAATAGATCATGTTTAATATTTCGCAATATTTACTAACAAGTATAATCAAGAGAAATATAGAAAAATAGAATGAAGAAGTGAAAGACGTACCTATGAGTCATACACAGATTACAAACGTCAGATTAGTTTGTGATCACAGAAAGAAAGAACTTCGAATAGATGAAGTTCTAACTTTAGTGTAGACTCATAGACTATAAGTAGTAGAAAAATAACACTGATGAGATACGAGAGTTAAACATCAAGCATGTAAACATATCAAATATGTAGAGATGGTTCATCACGCAGGATGGTCAGACACGACAGTAACATGAGAAAAGAAAGAGAAACATAACAACAGAGAAAACATCACGCAGGATGAGCATACATAACTAAGAGCTATTTGATAACATTACATGTGAGATAATGACCAACTAACAATATAACTAGGCTAATGGGCCACGTGAAGCAAGATAGCTTCCTACAAACCACCTCACTTTTCCCTAATTAACGCCTTCGGAAGACTTTCAAAGTTAATCAATTCCATCCTAACTTTGAACACTGTAAAGTTTACACCAACACATCATCAAGATGCACCGACTGGATTCCACCAACTTCGGCATTTGGGAAGCGATGGACTGCGTTCTACATGTCAGCTGATCAAAACAGCTCCAAACACCACCGCCTTGCAAAATGTCAGCACTGCCAGGAGACAATGGACGGAAAACCAAATAAACTGGCTGATCATATGATCCACAAATGTTGATCAATCTCAAT